GAAAAGACCCACAGGATAGAAACATGGATAGAGGTAAAGGTTTTGAAGACAGAGGTAGGCATTCCTGTCAGGTCTAGGTACTTTGCTGGGGTCTAGTGACTGCAGTAATTAAGTATTCCATCTGTCAATACGCTGAGTGGAGGAATATGGCACAAGGGTAATCTGGTTTGTAAGGTGTATCAAGGTTTTTATGTGAGATAACAATTTCAAACATGAACCACAAAAAAATTCAAATACAAATATGTGACATATCATAAATAAAATTACATAAAACAATTACACACAAATATCAAAGAAAAACAAGTTTGGAGTTGAAGAAAGAAGAAGAGCTTCTCACCTGTCTGAGCCTTCTCCACATTATAATTGGCATCCTGCAGCAGCTTGGCAATGACGGACTCAATATCCTCACCAACATAGCCAGCTTGAGTGAGCGTGGTGCAGTCACAGATGGCAAAGGGGACATCCAGGCACTGGGCTATGGTCTGGGCCAAGAGAGTCTTGCCTGGGAGAGCAAACAGAAAGATTCAGGGGCATGAAAACCGATCATAAAAGAATTATTTCAAAAATGTATAAATCAAGGATGAACAAACTCATAGGTCATTTAAATAATGATTGTATGAATAAAAATAATATTAACAACAAAATATAACAGGACTTTCAGCAAAATATAAACAAAAATGAAATACATATCTCCTGGGACCTACCTGAGCCAGTTGGCCCCAAGAGAAGAATATTACTCTTCTCTAGCCGGAGCATGTGTGTGGTCGCATCCAATATGTCTGATCCATGTAAACTGTTACTGCTGGTGACCGGTCGCTTTGAGGACTGTTGGTCTAGGGTCTGGCCCCCTTGCCCCCCCTGTTGCCCACCCTGCTGTCCCTGGTCAGTGTTCTGGAAGCCACTGACCCCTAGCGCATGGCTCTGGCTGATGCCAGCAATGTGCAAGAGGTCTGTAAGGTAGACAGGCAAGACAAAAAGAAAAAGAGTAAGAAATAGGTAATTGTGCTTATCTTGATAAGAATATAAACAATGGCAATAATATCTAAATGATTTCAGTCACCATCATTTTGTGACCACAACCCTTAATTTGCACAAAATTAGTATTCCTAAAACTAAATCTGGAAACAAAAGCATTTGCACACAAAATCTCATCATCCTTACACACATGATCTGGTTAAGAGTCCCTTATGATTTATTGAGCTAGATGAACCAGCTCTCATAAGAGGCACACCTAGAAGGAATCTCATGCTTTTTGCTCTCCAGCAATTGCTATGGCAAAGCTTCGATCACACACCACCTTCGCAAAAAGTGCTACACTTTCCAGTCAGGATTATAATGAGTTAATGATCTCCATTGTAAAAAAAAAAAAAAAAAAAAAAATCAGCAATCAGAAATTCTAACCAAACTGATATCTCAAGTAAACACAGTGCAGAAGAATACATAAGACACATATACACACACACGCAATTATTTAAAAAGAATGGTGAAGTTAGACATCGTAGACATATTTTCAGTGAAAAAAGAACAAAAGGTCAAACTAAAAAAGTTAAGAATAAAATGTGGTAAGTTGGATGTAATGAAATTTCATTTTCCAAATGGATATTTTGATGAAACCCTTCCTGAAACACTATAAGAGCTATAAACTTCCATCAATCCAAAATGTTACATAGTGATTTCAACATGGCAGATGGATCCTCCTAAGCTCAGCTCTCTCCCTCCCTCACTTACAAAATTACTTTAAAATAGCAACACAAGAACACACACACATACATACATGCATCTGCACAAACAAATGTGCACATACTAATACGTGCACATACCTAGAGTTCCAATATCTAGCAGCAGCAGAGTACAAAAACATGGCATTAATATTAATACATGGCAATGCAATGGACATAAATAAGTTACTAGCTCTTTCACAATAGCAATTTTTGGTAAGTTCAACTTCTGAGAAGTTTCATGCATAAACTTTTCAATGATTTTTGAACTTATGGAGATGCAGTCTGTAACACTGCAAGTGAGAGACAATAACAATGACAGAAAGGAAACAAAAGGCAAAGGGAACACAAATGGAAGGGGAAAGGGACAAGGAAACAGAGAGGAAGAGGTGCAGGAGAGAGAAAAGGTGCAAGGGATGAATGGAGTGGAAAAGTGGGGAGAGAAAAGGGAAAAAGTGAGAGGATGGAGAAGGAAGGATGGGAGGGGAGTGAAAAGGGGGTAAAGAGAGAGGTTTTTACCTACGAGGAATATAAAGATAATTGAATAATAAAAACAACAGAAACAACCTACAGTTTCCAACTTACTTCAGATCTCTCTCATTGTTTGCCTTTTGCTAAACCACCGATATGATCAATCTGATAATTCTTGCCATCCACCCACAGGCTTGTCTATCTGAGCTGATATCAGCTTGAACTTCCCCATTGCCTTTACTCACTCAATCTTTTATCATTTTACTTCTCTTTTTGTTTCTCCAATATCAACTCAATCTTTGATCTTGCCA